TTTTCAAAAAAATATTCTTTTAATTTATCAAAAAAAAAAAAAAAAAAAAAAAAAAAATTGTTACAAAATTAAAATATGTTGTCCTTATATAAAAAAAATTCAAATATTGGCCGAATTTTTTATGGAAATTCATTTAAAAAAAAAGTGAAAATAATTGTTAAAAAAAAATTAAAAATTAAAAAGTGTTGTCCTTATATAAAAAAATCAAAAAAAAATTGCCAATGTGGGTGGATTTTTTAAAAAAAAATTTCGATTGAAAAAATATTGGAAATATTTATATTAATTTGAAATATAAATTTATCAAAAAAGTAAAAAAAAATATTGTCCATACCTATATAAAATAAAAAAAACCAAAAAATTTCCAACTTGGGTGGATGTTTTCAAAAAAATATATTTTTTTTAATTTATCAAAAAAAATAATTGTTACAAAATAAAAAAATGTTGTCCTTATATAAAAAAAATTCAAAAGATTTATTAATTACAAACATTCAAAAAATTTACTAATTTAAAAAAAAAAATTCGATTGAAAAAATATTGAAAATATTTATATAAATTTGAAATTGAAAAATATTGATATAAATTTACCATAAAAATTTAAAAAAAATATTGTCCTTATATAAAATGAAAAACAAAAAATTTTCCAACTTGGGTGGATGTTTTTAATTTTTTTTTTTTTTTTAATTTATCAAAAAAATATTGAATATTTAGGGATTTTTTTTATAATTTATCAAAAAAATAATTGTGTTTTTTGTGGGTTTTTTGGAAATTTCGATTGAAAAAATATTGGCTATAAATGCAAAATTGGTCATATTAAAGAAAATTAATTTAAAAATAAATAAAATAAAATAAAAAATGGAAAATCATTTAATTTTATTTCAGCTGGATTTTTTATAAAAATTCATTTTTGAAAAAAATTGAAAATAATTGTTTAAAAATTAAAAAATGTTGTCCCTATATAAAAAAATCTAAAAATTTAGCAATTACAAAAATTTACTTATTTAAAAAAAAATTCGATTGAAAAAATATTGAAAATATTTATATAATTGAAATTGAAAAATATTAATATAAATTTACCAAAAAAAAAAAAAAAAAAAATAAACAAAAATTGTCCTTATATAAAATAAAAAAAAAATCAAAAAAATTTTCTAACTTGGGTGAATGTTTTAAAAAAATATATATATTTTTTTTAATTTGCCAAAAAAATATTGAATTTTTTGGGATTTTTTTAATATATAAAAATTTTTTTTTTTGGTGGATTTTTGGAAATTTCGTTTGAAAAAATATTGGCTATATTAAGAAAATAAAATAACAAAAAAAAAAAAAAACATTAAAAAAATCATGTCTTTTTATAAAATAATAATAAGTCATCAAAACTTTTTTATTTTTTTTTTTTAGGTAGGAAATTTCGATTGAAAAAATATTGGCTATATTAAGGATAATAAATTTAAAATAAATTAGAGATTCAAAAAATTTTGCCCTTCCTTTTTTTTATAAAAAATCTTAAGAACATATTTCATCCAAAAATATTGGCTATATTAAGCATAATAAATTTAAAATAAATTAGAGATTAAAAAAAGTATGTCCTTCATTTTTTTATTTTATATAAGGATGAATTTTTTATAAAAAAAAGTCTTAAAAACATTTTTCTTCAAAAAATTTATTTATTTTTTAGGGGGTTTCGATTGAAAAAAAATTGGCTATATTAAGGAAAATATATTAAAAAATTATGTTCTTAATTTGGATTAAAAAATTGTATTTAAGATTTTTTTTTTCAAAAAATATTTTTAGTTTGCTTATGGGAATAGTGTCCCACGCTCTCTGCGTTTACTCGACATTGACTCTTCAAACTTTGTTTATATTCCGAAAAAAAAAAAAAAATTTACAAAAAATATTTTTATTTTTTTTTACAAACAATATTTTTATCGAGGAAAAAATTAAAGAACTTTAACAAAATATTTTTTTTAATGAAAAATGTTTTTTTTTTTCAAAAAAAAAAAAAAAAAAATTATATTTCTTCTGGAAATGGTGTCCCACACTCTCTGTTTTTACTCCACATTGACTCTTCAACCTTCAGCTTTCAATGTCACAGCGACAATTTCGTGAGTAATTCCAGATAAGAATTTTTGTGCGCCTCGGGTTTAAGGTGTCAACGACTCAGATAAAAAAAAAAAGAGTAAAGCTGGTGTGAACCAAGTAAAAATATGACGTTAGTTGGAACATCAACAACTGAACTAGGGCAGAGTTCCCAGACCCTTTTTCTGATTTTTTTTTTTTTTTTGATTTTTTGTTTGGGAAACTTATTTCCTTTTTACAGATCAAAAGAGATAAACCAAAGATGATTGTCCAGGTCATGATTCACACAGAGTGTGACCCATATATACTATCAATATACATATATATTTCCCATAAAAAAATGAGAAAATTCTCCTCCAACATCAAAGGCGAAAAAATTAATTACCTCTAACTGCCTTCTGGTCGAAGAACATCGTCGAACACGATATTCAAAATTATGAAAAATATATTCCATAATTAATTGAACGAAGCAAAATTTGTTTCCATAATATTTTTTGAAAATGTTTTGCAAAAAAAATCAGTTCACTTGTTTATTTGTTGTCTGCCCGTCCGTCTGTCTGTCTGTCCATCTACGAGTATATACACGCCTGCCTGTTCATTTCGATGTTGAATCTCGACATTGTTTGGCATTGAAAATGAAAAATGATTTCTGTTTGGCTGTTTCTCATGGATTTCTTAATCCCGCCAGACATTTCATTTTGGGGTGGGCAATGCTGGTGGCCATTTGCCCGATTTCGAATGGAGAGGAAATTGAGATTACCGAATATATTCGATTGAAAATTGAGAAAAAAATTGTTTTGAATTGAAAATATAAACAAATTCGAGATATGCAAAAGAGAATCAATGGGGAAACAGCGATAGAGAAAAATTTGAATAAAAATTGAATTATTTTCAGTATTAGCTTCTCAAATATGAATTTGAATTTTGTTTTTGGAAAATTATTAATATTGGTCCTTTTTATAGGTTTTGTAGATTTTTTTAATTCAATTTTTTTTAAATTGTTGATTTTTGTTATTGGATATTTTACAAAAACCAAACAGATTTGGTCCAATGAGACCTAGGGCCTAAAGCCATTATGTCGATGAGGCACATTTTGATCGTATCAAATTATATATTCCATGTAGCCTCTGTACGGCTGCAAAAAAATCTTTAAAAAAAATATTATAAATATAAAATATAAATATTTTTTCTTATATAAATTAAAAAGGAAATATTTTTTTTTTGAATTGAATTTTAAATATTTTTACATTATTATTTCTAGGACATATAAAAAATAAAAAAGATTTTTAACAAAATCTTTCAGCTCTTTTCCGCTTCATATTAATTATTAAAATATTAGACATTAAAAAAAATTAAAAAATCATTTTTTTTTAATTAAAAAATACGTATATTTATTTTTTTATTTTTTTTTTAAACGCTTGAATATTAAATTTTGATTTTTCGTTTCAATTTTTTACTATAACCGCGTATTTAATAAAAAAAAAATCATTTCATATTTTAATTTTTATACATTTTTTAAAATTTTATTTAAAATATCGACGTTTATTGATAGCCTTGAAAAAATGTAAAAACAGTTTTTAAATGTTGTTTTTATTTTTTTCTTTGAAAGTTATGTAAATTACTTCATTATTTTTTTTTTCTAAAAAAATTTACAAAATTAATTTTTTTAATTAAAAAAAAATAATTTTTAAATATTGATTTTATTTTCTTACTTGAAAATTATGTAAATTTCTTTATTTTTTATATTTTATCCAAGAAATAATAAAAAAGAATTTTAAGAAATTAATTTTTTTTAATTAAATAATATTAATTTTTTATATATTTTTTTTTTTTTTGTATTTTGAAAATAGTGTAAATTTCTTTGTTTTTTATATTTGACTTTCAGCTCTTTTCCGTTTCATATAAATTATAAAATAATAAGACATTAAAAAAATTAAAAAATCATTTTTTTTTTATTAAAAAAAAAAAAAATATATATATATATATATATATATATATATATATATATATATATATATATATATATATATATATATATATTTATTTTTTTAATTATTTTTTTTTAAACCCTTGAATATTAAATTTTGGTTTTTCTTTTCAATTTTTTACTCTAACCGTGTATTTAATAAAAAAAATCATTTTATTTTTTAATTTTTATACATTTTTTTGACATTTTATTTAAAATATCAATAAAAGCCTTGAAAAAATGTAAAAATAGTTTTTATTTTTTTTTTTAATTTTTTACTTTGAAAATTATGTAAATTTCTCTATTACTCATTTTTTTTTTTTAAATAAAAAATATTTTTTTTATTCAAAACAAAAAAAAAAAAATAATTTTTAAATTTTGATTTTATTTTCTTACTTGAAAATTAAGTTAATGTCTTTATTGTTTATATTTTATCCAAGAAATAATAAAAAAGAATTTTAAGAATTTTTTTTTAATTAAAGAATATTAATTTTTTATATTTTGTTTTTTTTTTGTATTTTGAAAATGGTGTAAAATTCTTTGTTTTTTACATTTGACTTTTAGCTCCATTCCGTTTCATATTAATTATTACATAATAAGACTTAAAAAAATTAAACAATATTTTTTTTAATTTAAAAATATATATATTTTTTTATTTTTTTTTTACTTTAAAAATAGTATAACCTTCTCTATTGTTCATATTTTATCCAAAAATAATAAAAAAGAATTTTAAGAAATTTATTTCTTAAATAACAAAAAAATATATTTATTTTTTAAATTTAATTTTTATTTCATTTTTTTACTCTGAAAATGGTGTTCATTTGCCCGTTGTTTATATTTGCCCTTAAACTCTTTTTAGTTTTATATAAATTATTAAATAATAAGACGTTTTTATGTCGAACCCTCTCTTAACTTGCATTCTTATCAAAATGTGTCTTGTTTTTCTTTTCTTTATTTACAGATATCATTTTTGCCAACGAATAATTTAATACTTTTGTTTTTAAAATTTGCTTCACACATGGAATGGAAAACATTGGTGGGAGTTTAACTGGAAGAGAAAAAACGCCAAAATTAACTACTGCCAGAAAATAACAGAGAAAATCGTTTTATTTTTCACTGGGTGCTAAAAAAGGAGAGAGCCAAAACAAATAGCAATAAAAATAAAAATAATTATTAATTAATATATGGATTAATCATAAAACAAAAGAAAAACGTCAAAATAAAAAATACCTCTGTGACAATTCAATACTTGCCAGCCGAAATAATAAAAAAATCGTCTAACCAACGACAAACGTAATTGCCAGAAAATAAAACAACAACAACCAAATTCCAGATAAGGTCTGCGCTCTCCCACTCTCTCTCTCTCTCCCTATCACCGTTAGACCGTTAGACCTTTTCCATTGCAACCAACTAACAATTTACTCAAACTTTGTTGTTTTTTGCATTTAACCAGTCGGGATAGATAACGCCTTTGAAATTGTTTTGCCTTGTATCGAGGTTATGCGGATCTGTCTTGAAATTCAAAACGAATTTTAATATCTAAATTACGGAAATTTTTTCCTTACCGTGGAAATTAAAGAGAGTTTAAGGAAAAATTAAAAAAAAAACAGAAAATATGGAGCATTTGGATTTAGCCGGTATTATGACAACGCCACCCCAATGGAATACTCCAGTATTTGATCAACAAGGTAAGGGTCTGAAATAAAAAAAATTATTTTAAAATCAAATTTTTTAATAAAAAATTATTTTTTTTTTACATTTTCAACGATTCAAACTTGGCATAGATTTTTTTTTTCAAAAAAAAAAAAAAAAATATCGTAAATTTTTGGGAATATATAACTTTTTGTGTGGGGGTCATTCTTGGTCCGTAGAGGTCAATACAGTTTGTATTTGGAATTTTGGAAATTCGTACCTTCAGTGTACGAAAAGTACTAAAATGTAAAAAATCCACGCCTTGGATGGTTGTTGAAAAAAATATTCTTCGAAAAAATCCACGCCTTGGATGGTTGTTGAAAAAAATATTCTTCGAAAAAATCCACGCCTTGGATGGTTGTTGAAAAAAATATTCTTTAAAAAATCCACGCCTTGGATGGTTGTTGAAAAAAATATTCTTCGAAAAAATCCACGCCTTGGATGGTTGTTGAAAAAAATATTCTTCGAAAAAATCCACGCCTTGGATGGTTGTTGAAAAAAATATTCTTTAAAAAATCCACGCCTTGGATGGTTGTTGAAAAAAATATTCTTTAAAAAATCCACGCCTTGGATGGTTGTTGAAAAAAATATTCTTTGAAAAAATCCACGCCTTGGATGGTTGTTGAAAAAAATATTCTTTAAAAAATCCACGCCTTGAATGGATGTTCAAAAAATATTTTTTTTAAAAAATCCACGCCTCATATAGACCTCGAAAAAATATTGTTTAAAAAATCCTCGCCTTGAATGGTTGTTCAAAAAAAATTTTTTTTAAAAAAACCCCGCCTCATATAGACCTCGAAAAAATATTGTTTAAAAAATCCACGCCTTGAATGGTTGTTCAAAAAATATTTTTTTAAAAAAATCACGCCTCATATAGATCTCGAAAAAATATTTTTTTAAAAAAATCACGCCTCATATAGATCTCGAAAAAATATTGTTTAAAAAATCCACGCCTCATATAGACCTCGAAAAAATATTGTTTAAAAAATCCACGCCTTGAATGGTTGTTCAAAAAATATTTTTTTAAAAAAGCCACGCCTCATATAGACCTCGAAAAAATATTGTTTAAAAAATCCACGCCTTGAATGGTTGTTCAAAAAATATTTTTTTAAAAAAGCCACGCCTCATATAGACCTCGAAAAAATATTGTTTAAAAAATCCACGCCTTGAATGGTTGTTCAAAAAATATTCTTTAAAAAATCCACGCCTTGGATGGTTGTTTAAAAAAATCTTCTTTAAAAAATCCACGCCTTGAATGGTTGTTGGAAAAAAATATTCTTTAAAAAATCCACGCCTTGAATGGTTGTTCAAAAAATATTCTTTAAAAAATCCACGCCTTGGATGGTTGTTTAAAAAAATCTTCTTTAAAAAATCCACGCCTTGAATGGTTGTTGGAAAAAAATATTCTTTAAAAAATCCACGCCTTGGATGGTTGTTTAAAAAAATCTTCTTTAAAAAATCCACGCCTTGAATGGTTGTTGGAAAAAAATATTCTTTAAAAAATCCACGCCTTGAATGGTTGCTAGATTTTTATTTTTATCCCTTTCATCCAAAGGTCAATTGAGTTATTGACCCCTGAAAATTTCCAAATTTATTTTGAATCCCCTAAAAAATACTCTTGCCTCGATGCATAGCTCATAAATATGCCAACTCTAAGTCTCAATTTCAAAAATCGTTTTTCATTTCCAATTTCGTTGCTTAATCTGGCCATAATTTATTTCACTCTCGCACTATGTCAGTTTCAATATTCCTTGGATTTTGAAGTTTGTTTTCGTTACGTTTCCTTGAACGTAAAATGTCACGGCTTCTTTCGTAATCACTTGGCTCCACACTCTCTGTGGATGGTGTGTGTGAGTGAGTGTGCAAAGACCTCTGTCACAATTTATAAATTTATCTTCGTCTTCGGAGATCCATGTGTCCCGAAATTGTTTTCCTGGTTTTGAAAAAATTTCCCCATTCTAGAAGAAGGGGGAGGTGGGGGGAGATTTTTTTCTAGAGAAAAAAATAGATCACTTTTGCATTTGTAAATGGGTGGGGAAGGTTGTGATGGGGTAGTGGGTGGAGATGATATGGCCCTTACACGAGCATTTTTTTCTGGCTGACATTCTTTACTTGGCTCGCTCGTATTTTTGTTTTGTTTTTGTTTATTTTTTATTAATAAATTAATTGCAACGACAGCAAAAAGTTGAAAAAAGCCAACTAAATAAATGCATCATCATTTGTAAACATCGTCGTCATCATCATCGCCATCCTCATCTCTCGGCAGCAGCAGCCTCATCAGCTGCAGCAGTTGTCGTCATCAGGGCAAAAGAAAAAAAGTTCTAGGATGATTGAATATTGTGTGTGTGGAGAGGGCATCCGATTTTTTTTTCTGCTTCTTCCACTGATGATGATGATCGTCATGATCACTTATGATCAAAAGACCGCATTGGCGGCACATGAAGCAACAACAAAAACAACTTTTGTTTTTGCATTACATTAGGCCATCATGGCAGCCATGGTGAAGGCTGAAGGGAAGAAAATTCTGAAATTCTATTTAAGGCAGAAAATATTACCGAGAGGGGAAGGCTAGCCAACAGAGAACAGTGGAATTTTTACAAAATATTTTTTTTTGACGACCACCTGAGGCGTGGATTTTTTAAAGAATATTTTTTCAACAACCATCCAAGGCGTGGATTTTTTAAAGAATATTTTTTTCGACGACCATCTGAGGGGTGGATTTTTTAAAGAATATTTTTTTCGACGACCATTTGAGGCGTGGACTTTTTTAAAAATATTTTTGAGCAACCATCCAAGACGTGGATTTCTTAAAGAATATATTTTTCGAGCTCTATATGAGGCGTGGCTTTTTAAAAAATATTTTTTCAACTATCCACCGAGGCGTGGATTTTTTAAAGAATATTTTTTCAACTATCCACCGAGGCGTGGATTTTTTAAAAAATATTTTTTCAACTATCCACCTAGGCGTGGATTTTTTAAAAAATATTTTTTCAACAACCATCCAAGGCGTGGGTTTTTTAAAAAATATTTTTTCAACAACCATCCAAGGCGTGGGTTTTTTAAAAAATATTTTTTCAACAACCATCCAAGGCGTGGGTTTTTTAAAAAATATTTTTTCAACAACCATCCAAGGCGTGGGTTTTTTAAAAAATATTTTTTCAACAACCATCCAAGGCGTGGATTTTTTAAAAAATATTTTTTCAACAACCATCCAAGGCGTGGGTTTTTTAAAAAATATTTTTTCAACAACCATCCAAGGCGTGGATTTTTTAAAAAATATTTTTTCAACAACCATCCAAGGCGTGGGTTTTTTAAAAAATATTTTTTCAACAACCATCCAAGGCGTGGATTTTTTAAAAAATATTTTTTCAACAACCATCCAAGGCGTGGATTTTTTAAAAAATATTTTTTCAACAACCATCCAAGGCGTGGATTTTTTAAAAAATATTTTTTCAACAACCATCCAAGGCGTGGATTTTTTAAAAAATATTTTTTCAACAACCATCCAAGGCGTGGGTTTTTTAAAAAATATTTTTTCAACAACCATCCAAGGCGTGGGTTTTTTAAAAAATATTTTTTCAACAACCATCCAAGGCGTGGGTTTTTTAAAAAATATTTTTTCAACAACCATCCAAGGCGGGGATTTTTTAAAAAATATTTTTTCAACAACCATCCAAGGCGTGGATTTTTTAAAAAAATATTTTTTCAACAAACATCCAAGGCGTGGATTTTTTAAAAAAATATTTTTTCAACAAACATCCAAGGCGTGGATTTTTTAAAAAAATATTTTTTCAACAAACATCCAAGGCGTGGATTTTTTAAAAAAATATTTTTTCAACAAACATCCAAGGCGTGGATTTTTTAAAAAAATATTTTTTCAAAAAACATCCAAGGCGTGGATTTTTAAAAAAAATATTTTTTCAACAAACATCCAAGGCGTGGATTTTTTAAAAAAATATTTTTCAACAAACATCCAAGGCGTGGATTTTTTAAAAAAATATTTTTTCAACAAACATCCAAGGCGTGGATTTTTTAAAAAATATTTTTTCAACTATCCTCTGAGGCTTGGATTTTTTAAAAAATATTTTTTCAACTATCCACCGAGGCGTGGATTTTTTAAAAAATATTTTTTCAACTATCCACCGAGGCGTGGATTTTTTAAAAAATATTTATTCAACTATCCACCGAGGCGTGGATTTTTTAAAGAATATTTTTTCAACTATCCACCGAGGCGTGGATTTTTTAAAAAATATTTTTTCAACTATCCACCGAGGCGTGGATTTTTTAAAGAATATTTTTTCAACTATCCACCGAGGCGTGGATTTTTTAAAGAATATTTTTTCAACTATCCACCGAGGCGTGGATTTTTTAAAGAATATTTTTTCAACTATCCACCGAGGCGTGGATTTTTTAAAGAATATTTTTTCAACTATCCACCGAGGCGTGGATTTTTTAAAGAATATTTTTTCAACTATCCACCGAGGCGTGGATTTTTTAAAGAATATTTTTTCAACTATCCACCGAGGCGTGGATTTTTTAAAGAATATTTTTTCAACTATCCACCGAGGCGTGGATTTTTTAAAGAATATTTTTTCAACTATCCACCGAGGCGTGGATTTTTTAAAGAATATTTTTTCAACTATCCACCGAGGCGTGGATTTTTTAAAGAATATTTTTTCAACTATCCACCGAAGCGTGGATTTTTTAAAGAATATTTTTTCAACTATCCACCGAAGCGTGGATTTTTTAAAGAATATTTTTTCAACTATCCACCGAGGCGTGGATTTTTTAAAGAATATTTTTTCAACTATCCACCGAGGCGTGGATTTTTTAAAGAATATTTTTTCAACTATCCACCGAGGCGTGGATTTTTTAAAGAATATTTTTTCAACTATCCACCGAGGCGTGGATTTTTTAAAGAATATTTTTTCAACTATCCACCGAGGCGTGGATTTTTTAAAGAATATTTTTTCAACTATCCACCGAGGCGTGGATT